GTATCAAAAGGAACATAAAAAATTGAAAACTGAACTTCAAATAAATTATTGTCAAAAAATAAATCAAATTGTATATTATAAAATATTTAGAACTTGACTGCAATGAAAATACTACATAAATCAAAATTGGTAGAATCTAGTTGAAGTCTTTAAAGGAGAAAAATATGGCTTTAGGTACATATATTAGAAGAGAAAAATATGCATCTATGTACCCTATTCAGAAAATGAGAGAAAGAACAGCAAAATAACTTACAAGTTAATTAAAAAGAAACTCTTAGAAAACTAAGAGACTATATGAATGTACTAGAAAGTAAAAACAAAAGAAAGAACAATCAAAAATCATTTTATCTTTACTGAACCTTCAAATAAAAGAGAAACTTTACCTTTCCCAGTTTATTCCATAGAAAGGGAAGGAAAGCTCTCTAAAACAATCAGACATGGTCAGTATGATAAAAACAAAATTGGAGACCATCTCACATATAAACCAAAAAAAAAAAAAAGTAATTAGAATATTAGCAATAGGAATCCAAGAATATTGTAAAAATATCATACATCAGGGCCAAGAGAAGTTCATTCCAGGAATACAAAACAAAACAAAACAAAAAAGACCTATTATGAGAAAGACATCAGTTAGGTCTCAGTTGAGGAACTTTCTACAAAATACCTCATCAGTATTCCTTTAAAACTGTCAAGGTCATCTGTAAGGAAGTCTGAGAAACTATCATAAACAAGTCAAGACCATAGAGTCATGACAATTATTTGTTATGAGTAAGATCCTGGAGCAATTGCAACAAAAAATTAGGTTTAAAAACTTTGCGGGGCTGGGGTTGTGGCTCAGTGGTTGAGCACTTGCCTAGCACATGTGAAGCACTAGGTTCGATCCTCAGCACCACATAAAAATAATTAAATAAAGATATTGCATCCATCTATAACAAAATATTTTTTAAAATTTCTTTAAAAACTAAGGAAATCTAAATAAAGTATGGACTTTATAGTAGTTTTTCAATATTGGATTGTTAATTATAACAAGTATTCCATCCTAATATAAAATGTTAATAATAGGGGAACTGTGGAGTATATGAGAACTCTCTAGGCTATCTTTGCAAAACTGTTTTTAAAAATAAGTTTTATTGGGGCTGGGGATGTGGCTCAAGCGGTAGCGCGCTCGTCTGGCATGGGTGCGGCCCGGGTTCGATCCTCAGCACCACATACCAACAAAGATGTTGTGTCCGCCGAGAACTAAAAAATAAAAAAAAAAAACATTAAAAATTCTCTCTCTCTCTCTCTCTCTCTCTCTCTCTCTCTCTCTCCTCTCTCACTCTCTCTTTAAAAAAAAAAGTTTTATTAAGGTGAATGTTTTTCTGATAAGCAGATGCTAATTCATAATGGGGCGGGTGGATGGGGAATAATGAAGGAACTTTGGTTTGTGTAGAGGGGAGTGAGGAGAGGAATGGAACTGTGGGGATGGGAAGGACAGTAGAATGAGACAGACATTATTACCCTATATACATGTATGATTACACTAATCATACATGTATATAGGGTAATAATACAGCCAGTGGAATGAGAAGTTGTGCTCCATTTGTGTACAATATGTCAAAATGCATTCTACTATAAAATTAATTAATTAATTTTAAAAAAGAAAAGAAAAAATGTTTTATTTTAAAAAAAGTAATTCAGGGAAAATTATCGAATAGAAAGTAAATGCATTAAAAATAAACATAAAATTTACAAAATAGCCAGGTGTGTTGGAGCATACCTGTAATCCCAGTGTCTCTGAAGGCTGAGGTAGGAGGAATTGCAAGTACAAACCCAGCCTCAGCAACTTAGCAGGTCCCTGTCTCAAAATAAAAAATAAAATAAAATGGGCTGGAAATGTGGCTTAGTGGATAAGTGTCCCTAGGTTTAATTCCTGTAACAACAACAACAAAAAGTTGTGTGCGTGTATAAAATATGATATAATTTAAAAATAAATTAAGCAACTTTTTAAAATAAGCTAAAGAGCTGGGTGCCATGGTGTGTGCTCATAATTCCAATGATGTTGGAGGCTGAAGCAGGAGGATCATAAATTAGAGGTCAGCTTGGGCAATTTAGTAAGATCATGTGTTAAAATTAATAAACAGTGCTGGGGATGTGGTTCAAGGCAGAATGCTCTCAGGTTCAATTCCCCATACCAAAACAACAAATAAAAAAAGAAAGAAAGAAAAGGAAAGGAAAAAAAGCCAAAGAAATTACTGACAAAGGCATTTTAAAAAATCCTGTGAATATATACATATATAGTCAAAGATAGAGTGAACAAACCAGATAGCCCCACTTGTTCCCTAAGCACTAAACTGAATGTACACTGAAAGGATTTATATTAAATAAGACAAATCCACAAGGATAAAGATGGAAGGAGAAAGACCAACCATTAGAAGTAGCAAAACAGGTGACATGTGGCAAATGAATGGACACACCCAAGAACATCAAATCTTATGTCAGTAGTAAGAAAAGCCAAGAAACAGCAGAGAACTACAGGTTCTCTTAAAGGGTTAGAGAGTTGTTCACACCAACCCTAATGTTAGGGCTAAAAACCAGAAGACAAGATCTATTTAAGACCTTGATGGAGTTCCTTTGCCCACAGGCTTCTCACCCCAGAGATGGAAAAAGTCAGTTGTTTTTAGCCTGGGGTCACCAATGCATGCTAAGATGCTACCTTGAAAACAAAGGGAATAAATGAGAATTTACATACTCTCTGAGCAGGAGAGACTCTTTGGGGAGTTTTCCCTGGAATTCAAATTCCAGAGTAAAACCCATGGTGCATATATCTGAGGTTCTTCAAGAACAAGGTTAAACTCACTAGAGACCTTGCCTGTTTGTGGACCAACCTTCTCTTCAGTCCTCTGCAAGTAGACCTGTCAACGTCATTGAATAAATGAGTCTAGCATTGGGGAAATAAATCCAGGCCAAAAATGGATGTATGGAGATGTGAGTACATGGATGTCATTTAAATCTGTATGGCATTAGTCTATATGAAATTGAGAAGGGAGTGAGGACAAACAGAGAAGATAAAGAGTCCTGGGGAGTGGGTCCTTCAGTGTTTCCAGGTCTCTGAGATGTAGAGGAATCAGCAGAGGAAAACTAGGTGAATGTCACACCTGGGGTTCAGAAAAGATGCATAATTATATGATTCTAATGCTGCTGAGAACTGGAAGTAGAGCACTGCATAAGCAATATGGAGGCTGTTGGCAGCCTACTCAAGAGCAGTAGAGGGTAGGGAATAGAATATAGTGGGAGCCGTAGTTACGACACATAAGGATAGAGACCAAACCTCACGCAAAGTCTCCAGAGTGCGGATTTGGAATCCAAAATAAAAAATCTGAGCTGTTGGAAGTTTTCTAAAAGGATATTCTTGGTCATGGAAAAAATAGAAGCAGAGTTGTGAGAAAAGGGCATGAGAAAGAGTTGTTAAATGCTTCAAGGAATGAAATGAATGAAGAGTGAGTAAATATAAAATGTTTGCTACTTTTGATTAATATATAAAATACATACATTTGTCACAATGCAGTGTTCTGTTAAGTGTTGCCTGAGTATTCCAGACTGCTTTTCTGTTCTCTCTAAAAATCCAGAAGCTTGTGACTTTAGGAAGCATTAGTCTTGATCAGTTTAGTCTTCCCCAGCCTTTAGCTGTCCTAAAGCAATAGACATCCAAAGAACAAAATTCCGTAATTTTAATGATATGAAATTAGATATGCCTATAAATCATTGAATTTTTCACTAGTCATTTGTTTCAATGTATGAAACTTTATATTTTTTAATTAAATATATGTTGCAAAGACATGCTTGTGCCTTGAACTGCTAGCACATTCCTGTCTCAGGGCCTTGCACTGGTTCTTTGCCCTGATGGACTCTGATCAGCTGTCCCACAATCTTCTGATTTCATTCCTATGCTTAATAGCTTTATTCATTAAAGAAATGTGGATGAAAATTTCAGTGAGATATCAACTTCATAAAATTTGACAGCAAGAATGTAGAGCAAAAGTAGTGCTCTTGTACTTCACTCAGAGACAGAAACTGGAATAACCACATTGAAAAACAGTCTTGACATTTCTTTCTTTTCTTCCACTTAGCATGTATTTAATATTCACTTATGATTTAGCCTACAAATATTACCCTTAGGTTTTTATCAAAGGGAAATATACATGTATATTCATAGAAAAACCTGTACATGAATGTTTACAGCTTTATTTGTAACTGCCCAAAACAGGAGCCAATCTAAATAGCCTTCAAAGAGTTAGTGGATAAATCTTGGTATATCATAAAGTGGAATATTAATCAACAATCATAAGGAAAAGACTGTTGATACACAAAGTCTCATGGATGAATCTCAAGCACATTTTGTTAAGTGAAAGAACATAGACTACTTGCTAGGATTCCATTTGACATGCCATTCTGAAAGGGGCAGAACTGTAGGGACAGAGAAAAGCAATGGTTGTGAGAGGCTGAAAATGGAGGGGAGTGACCAAGGAGAGGTACTTTTTGAAGCAATGGGACTGTTTCATATCTTAATTACAGGGACAATTTACAGTGACTGCTTCATGACTGCATACATTCCTTAAGACTCAAGCCTAATAAGGAGGAAAATTTCTTGTTTGCAGATACCCTCAGTAAACCTGACCTTACAACCAAAAAAACAGCACAAACAATGTCACCTTCCCCAGCCATGTATTCCCAGGATCCATTCTGCTTAAGGTCCCCCCTCCCTTCCCCAGCTTCATCAGGATGGCCAGGAACTGTTACTTCATCCCTAGCTTGTTGCCTTTTGAGTGTGAAGAATCAAAATGATTTTACTTTCTTCATTAGTCCTTTTCTATCATTTTAAATTCACATCCAGTTTACATTTTGTTGTTTTAATTACTGGGGATACATAAAATTTTAGCATAATAATTTGCATTTAAGAAAAAAGTTATGATGATGAAACCCAGATTGTTTACAGGGTTAACTTGTGCGTTTTTCCATAGACAGCAGCGAGTGTCTTGCAGATGACTGTAGTATAATTGCTGGAGGGAATCTCACTGGTTGGCACCCAGATTCTGCTGCTGTGTTGTGGCGAAGAGTCTTGGGAATCCTCGGAGACGTGAATAATATCCAGTCACCCAAGATCCATGCCAAAGTTTTTGGCTATCTCTATGAACTCTGGTACAAATTAGCAAAGGCATGTTCTTCTATGTTATCTTTGAAACTTTGATCATTAATACAAAAGCTGTGTTGCAAGTAACTACTGAACATATTCTGGAACACAAATTATACACTTAGACAAAGTGCATTTGATTATCAAAGAGTAAATCATAATAATTATAGTTTGAATGTTGTATAAATATGAAGTTATTTCATTTAGTGTAAAAGTAGAACATTTGTATAGGATATAAAAAATAGGATATTGAATAGATTTAGTTATTCTCTTTATAAAAGTAAAACTGGTTTTAGTGTACAAGTTTGAAAAATATAGAAAGTACAAAGAAGAAGATATGCATCACCATCCCTTTGAAATAACTGATATTAATATATAGTTCTATTTCTGTAGATAAAGACATTTTTACAAAAGTAGATTCTTAGAGTACATCCAGTTTTCATCCTGGTTTTTGTTTTGGTATTGAACATAATTTTTTCCTGTTATTAATTTTTTTTTTCAAAAACATGATTCAAATACATACAGTATAATTTGTTAAGCCATTCCCTAACATTTGGAGATTAGGACCTCTCCGGGTACTAACATTTCTAAGGAAAAACAATACCCTAATTTTATATTTAATGTAAAACCACATACAATAAGTCAGACACAGTTCAGACAGACGAAATTTCACAACAAAATAAAAAATTGTAAATATTATGGATTTTCACTGAATTTATAGAAATTTAATTAGAATCAGCTGTGGAAGACAATATTGAAATACTGTTGCAATAAATGGAATGTTACCTTCCTTAAAATTCTCTTCTTTGTGAATTAGATACGGGATAATCTAGCAATAAGCCTGGATAACCAGTCTTCTCCATCTCCTCCAGTCTTGATCCCACCACTCAGAATGTTTGCATCATGGCTATTTAAGGCAAGTGGATATGTGTTTGTTTCTTTATAGCAATTTCCTCTTCCTTTCTGAAATTGAGTTTGAAAAATGTAATTGCCCAAGACTGCATGTTTTGAAGACAGGCTGGGTTTTTACTAAAGTCACAGCATCCCACATCTTCATAAACAACTCTTCTGGAAAACTGAGAAGTAAATGAAATGTCGAAATGCTCTGCATCTGGACTTGATTTAATCTGGAAACATCATCTCCTTGGCAGGCAACAACGCTGCCAAATGAATACAAGGAAGGCAAACTGCAAGCCTACAGGCTGATCTGTGCCATGATGACCAGACGCCAGGACGTTCTGCCAAACTCAGATTTCCTGGTGCATTTTTACCTCGTGATGCACCTGGGATTAACCAGCGAGGACCAGGTATTCTGTGACTTTTTTGTCATAATTGTCCATTAACAGGAAACTGCATATTATGTTTACTTATATCAAGATTTACGAAAATACATCAGAAATGTTTAATTTCTCAGCAATTTCAACTCTTACAGAAACCACAGTGGTCTTTCAAAACTGTCAATCAGGTTTTATCACATCCCTGCTTTTTCCATCCCATTACTTTGCATCATGACAACTAATTTTGAATTTAATTCTATGGCTGTATGATCTGATCTCTGTCTATGTTGCCAACCTCAAAATACTGTCTCAACCAACCACTTTTCATTTATGTTCTGCATTATATATTGCTTGAAACAAGTGATTCTGATCATTTAAAGATGTCTGAAAACTGTGATTTTAGTAATTGGGTTGTTTTTGTAAGACTTTATACGTTAGGGGTTCTCACATTTCTTGATGTGGAGTGATTTTATTTTCTTCCAAAGAATTTAAAATTAAATTGTGGTTAAGTAGGAAAAGAAAGACCTAAACCCCTCTTAGCTACAGCCTTCTCTTAGTAGATCCTGGATTTAGGGGGTCATATATGGCTAACTCCTGGCTTTGCTCCCTTGGGAAGCCCTTAGCACTTGTAATGGGAAGGAGAAGGGATGCAAACAGGACATGTGGACCTTTGTCTTGATCTGGAAATATCAATCAGGCAAGGGGTGTGTTTGATTTGTACTTTACAGAGATTATTTTGGACTCTTATTTGGAGGGTGGATTTGAAAATGTGGCAGTGGTAGGATAGAGTAGGATTTGGGGTTTAAAGACAGATTAAATTGGAAGTGGTCAAACTAATATGAAATTTTTAAATGATAAGAACTAAGATGGTAGTATTGGAGATGAGCAGTAAGGAACAGGAAAGATTTAAGAAATTTTAAGCCATTTCATGTTATCATCACTAGGTCTTCTTGACCAACTGGAGATCTGGCAAGTGTTTCAGAATTTACCCTTTAAGTTGCTCATACTTCTGAATGAACTGAATCATTTATTAATACCAGGTAGCTCTCCTTTATGTGTTTCTTTCATTCTATAAATGTATTATGCAGACACGCAGACCTTTTGTTTCTCCTAAAATACATTTAAGAAGCTATTCTTTTGATTAGCTTTTTTGTTGTTGCTTTAGTATGTACCTGAACTTTCCCAACTGTTGGGCTCTATTTAAAGATTTTTCAGCATATTCTCTGACATATACTTTGAGCTCTAATTGCTGAACTTTTATCTTGAGTTAAAACTATTGCTGTCCCAGTGAGTTGTCTTTGTCTTATCTGTTCTGAATTTAGCAGTACTTACACAACATCTGCATAGAAGGCTGAATTTAGACTCAAGGTCACATTTATTTCCTAGAGAAATGTAGAAATAAAGAAGTAGAATTATTTATACTTCCTGCTTCAATATTTTATAGCTATCATTGCAGATAAAAGCTTTTTTTTTTTTACAGAATGATACAATTCAGGGTATGTGGATGACTAAGTTAATGACTAAGTTAAGGGTATAAATAGGGAAGAGAAATAACTTCATAGATGTTGAGATCCCTCAGTAGAGGAACCAAGAGAGGGGAAAGTTTACTTAACAGTGATTTAATTTAAAGGAGTGTTTTGCAAAGATTTTTCAGGAAAGAAAAGTTGGAATTAATCAGCTGTATAATCTTCTGATTTAATTAAAAATTGAAGGCAACAGAAAATATTTATTATTTCTTAGTATGTATTTTCTAGAAAGTCACATAAGTAGATAAGAGTTTAGAATCACCTATTTATTTTAAGGCATGTTGGTATAAAAATGAAATAATAAAATCAGATGAAATACACATTTAAAAAATTAGTATAATTATAAGAATTATTTTCAAAAATATTTTGCATGTAGAAAAAATTTTCAGATTTTATGCTTAAAACTTCACATTTTAATATTATGTCATGTTTTCAGTTAAGATTTAGTGACCTTTTATAGTTTGTTGTAAATACATAAATCTTAGGAAATAATGCGATGCTGGTCTAATCCCAACATCCATACTTCTAAGATAAAGTGGGGATGTCATAAATCTCTCTTTTATAATCAGCGTATTGTGTAGTCCATTAGAAACCTGGATTTTTATGTGGGTTTAATAGAATTGACTATGTGCTTTAACCTTAACAATTATTGGTATATTTTTTAGAAACCCTGACTGTCTGCCAAACAGAATTACTCTAAATAAACTTTATTTTTTTGCCAGAAGAAAATTATGCAGAAAAACTTTTAGTGAAAGAAATTTTTCTCATTTAAGTAAGAATTGTCTCTCGTTAATTAGTTTAACTTTTGGTCCACATGTCTAAATAGATCATGGTGGTTATTTCAGAACTTATATATACTTCTGGAAACACATGCTATATTCATTATAGAAAGAAAGGAAAGCATTTACTGCAGTGAATACACTTAAATTCAATTTTTTAATTGGCAAAGTATGCACCTGTGGTTGGCCCCATCTCAAGGCTTGTTTCCATTTGTGAGGTCTCAAAGAGCCACACTTACATGTAACCTGGAACTAAAGTATTTTTTAATTCAGAGAGAATCTTAAAATTTCCTGCATGTTTTAATGAGATAAGTAATAGCAAATAATTCTTAAAAATTTAACCCCAGTCTTGTCTCACAAATAAAATCAAATGTGTGTTTTCTTCTTTTGCCTCTGGGTGGCACACTTGTCTGCTGAACTTAGCTGATAAAAAACTGCTGCAAGACTGAGGACCCCCCAAACTTTTTGGTGTATGTGTGGCATGGTCGTTTTACGAAATGCTTTCTTGAATCTGAGAGTATCAAAATTATGTCAGTAGTGACCAATAAGATGTTTAATTATAAATAAATGGCATATTTTTAAACATAGTGGTGCTTGTACTAATTGAAGAATTTTATAACTTTAAAAACCTACTTATAAAGTAGATGTCTCACAAATTGTCTTGTGTACAGTGACATAATCATGTAAGGCTTCATGTGACTTGAAATAAAATTCATTATGTAAATAAATTTAGTCATTTTCTTCTAAAAATTAATGCATATGCCAAACAGCCAAAATTCAAAATATAGTATGTTACAAAACAATTGTTTTTAGTATTGTTTTAACCAGGTTTAGCTGTCCCAGTAGCTTAATAATTTAATGGCTAACATAATGACCTTACCAAGTAGTATTTTTTACAGTAAAGATATAGTATGGGATTGTGACTTATTAGTGTGATTGAAAACATGCTTTGAAATGGCTTTATTTTTTCCTTGACATTAGTTTCCTAAAAATTAATCCTTTTATTGGTTTAGAAAATAATTAGGATCATAAACACTTTGAAAATAACTGTTATATAGAAAACTCTGTGTGACTTCTAGGAGTGCCCAGCCTGCCCATGAAGGGGTCTTCCTGTTGCCTCCTCTTCACAGTTGGTTTGTGTCTGGTGGGCTGGTGGGGGCAATTGGAGGGTGTTCTTTCCCCTGGCATTCATAATGCCAGCCTTAATACTGGGGACTGTGCGATGTTGTCCCATTAATTCTTCTCTGCAATTCAGTTAGATGAGTATCATGACCCTTTTATGAGTAATGAACATTTTAAAAATATCAAGAAGTTTTGTCCAATGCTACATCTTCCAAAAGCTGTTGGAAATCCCATTCAGGTTTGGCTTATTCCACTGGGTATGTTTTTTCATTGATTCACAGCTAATATGTTGGTCAAACAGTACTTGGCTTTATTTCTTCTTCCTTTTTATTTTTCCTGGGCTCTGGCCTTGTTAATGCCAACTTCACAATCCCCCTTATTAGAGAACCTCCAACTGCAATCATGTTCCCATAGATGCCTTCTCAGTCTTTCAGTTTCTCTTCTAAAGCTGTTCTTGGTTGTTCTTAGTTTTTCCTAATGTTTAAGCAACTTTTTCACCTCATTCTTCCCCAAAATATTTTGACATGAAAGCAGCTATGATTTGGATTTATTAAAAACAGTTCCTATTAATTTTGTGATTATTTAAAACATATGGAAAGATCAATATGTGTGAAATAGAAAAGGACAGTTGAGGAAAGGAATTGTATTTTCATGTTTATAAGAACATATATCAAAGCTTGGAAAGTTTTCTTTTCTTATAATAAGCAAACTATTTTTTAACAATGACTTACAGATTTAATGTCTTAATGTAATTTTCTGTTATACATCAAAGTTAAATTCTCTTTTAAATGCAAAGCTTACATTAATGCAAAATTATTGTTGCAAATTTTCATATAAAACTTTCTGGAAATGTCATTTTCATCTACAGTATTGAATTGTTGTATTTTGTATTGCACCAAAAAAGCTTGAGGCCTCTCTCAGGTGGAGAAGTTAGTATTGTTCTGCCCTGAGGCAACAGTGGAGTTACAAATTTGAACCATAACAGCACAGTGTTAAAGATATTGTATAATGTCATGTGATAAAGTGTAACAGTTAAAAGCATGGGCCTCAAATCAGGCTGAGCCCCAGTCTTGACTTTAGCATTCTTTGTCCAAGTCCATTGAGCTCACTGTGTCTTGGTTCCCTACCTATAAAATGAGGACAAGTACAATGCCTTCCTCAGAGAGTTGTTTAAAGACTTGAAGTGGGTAATGTCCTCAGTGTGGAGTGTGACATGACAGCCCTTACTAAGCGTAAGCCCTCATGCCAACATTAAGGATAAGGAAGACTACAGCTTCATTAACCTCCTGTTTTATTTTTTCTGATATCTGAAAGTGTTAGGTGTTCCTCGCCCCCCTCTCCCCGCCTCCCACTTTACCCATCTGTTGTCTTACTTTTGAATATAATGATTTGGCTAAATAATTAGACATTGTAGAATTTCTGAACATTGAGAGAAATAACCACTCCTCGTTCTGTGACTCAGACAGTAATGTTTATTTTGACCTTGTATTCTTATGATCCAGAAAATGTATCCTGTGTATCTGTAGCTATTGGTTCACTTTCCACTTGCTTCTCATTCCACCCAAGGAAAGGAGCTAGAAGGCTGAACTCTGCATGGTCCAGA